CTCCTTCCTTCCTTCTTCCTTCCTTCCTTCCTTCCTTCCTTCCTTCCTTCCTTCCTTCCTTCCTTCCTTCCTTCCTTCTTCTTCTTCTGCCTCCTTTCTTCCTTCCTTCCTTCTTCCCTATACCTCTGTCCTTTCTATCTGTAAATATTCATTTAAAACAGAACATAAAGAATTAAAACCCCGCAAATGTTTAGTGATGCAACTCTTATGGAGATGCCAGGTGTCCCTTTTGAACATTGCAACTCTTTTATTAGGAGAGCTTCTCCTTCAAAGACTCTGTTTATGTTCTGTTTTTTTAAAAAAATTCTCACACTGAGGACAAGAGAATAGAATTGTATTGGATTTATAAAGGGTTTCCAGCATCTATTTGTATCGTGTCAGTTTGGGAACTGGGAGGAAATTGCAGGGGATAATTTTATGCCATTTTAAATGTTATGCATTGTGATTGTAAGTCAAGGGTTATCTGTAGTTGAAAAAAAATATTTTGAAAATATTAAACGTTGTCTTTGAGCCAAATTAATATACTTTCTGCCATTTCTTTTTCCAAGCACACGATAACGCTAGGACATTGCAGAAAACATGTTTTGATGAAGCTTTATTCTCATTGTTTATCTCTGACAACTTGTTGGTTTCTAGGACCTGCACAAACTTAAGGCTGGGCAGCCCACACAATACCAGGAGCTCACTGCTGATAAATTGATTGAATCTGACAAACTCCTTTATGTTCTGGATGGAGACGCTGCCATCGCTCGCCACATGAAACACCCCCAGGGGGACATGATCACGGAAGAGTAAGTCTGGGGTGATAGCACAAAGGCCACGTTGACCAGGAGACCTGTGTTACTTTTTGTCGTGTGGTTCTGGGTTCTTCTCCGGTTTCAAAACAAGGCATGAAGATAACACCTGTTTTTAGCGTTTTAAAGAAATATTTAATTCGGGGTGCGCCTTGGTGTTGTTCTCGGATTCAAGTATTTTTAGTCGTTTATCAAAATATCAAATACAGAAATAAAAAGAAAAAAATGAAAATAATGGGAAAATAGGAGAGAGGAGGGGAAAGAAGAAAAGGTCTAGGGTAAAGGGGAGAAGAAAAAGAGAAGCATTGACTTCTGACTCCGTTTGGTGCAGTAGAATAAGGTAATAACACACAACCTCAACATTTTACTTTTACGTAATAATAGGAATAGAAATAGGATAGAATAGAATAAACAAATAGAATAGAATGGAATGGAATGGAATGGAATGGAATAGATGGAATGGAGAATAGAATAGAATAGAATAGAATAGAATAGAATAGAATAGAATAGAAGCTAGAAGGGACCTTGGAGGTCTTCTAGTCCAGCCCCCTGCTCAAGCAGGAGGTCCTATACCATCTCAGTCAGATGATTGTCCAGTGTCTTTTTAAAAGCTTCCAGCGATGGAGCGCCCACGATTCCTGGTGGCAAGCTGTTCCACTGGTTGATCGTCCTCACTGTCAGGAAGTTTCTCCTTAATTCCAGGTTGCTTCTTTCCTTGATCAGCTTCCAACCATTGTTTCTTGTCCTTCCCTCTGGTGCTTTGGAGAATAACGTGACCCCCTCTGCCTTGTGGCAGCCCCTCAGATACTGGAACACTGCTATCATGTCTCCCCTATTTCTTCTTTTCTTTAGACTAAGCTCCACAGCCGTTCTTCGTAAGTTTTGGTCTCCAGGCCTTTGATCATCTTAGTTGCTCTTCTCTGAATTTTTACCAGTCTCTCAACATCTTTTTTGTGATATGGTGATATATACTAGCCACGTCTCTAACAACAAACCTACCTAATCAGCAAAACCCAAAATCAACATTTCATTTTTTCCCACCTCAATTGGTATTATTCTCAAAGAAAAACTCTGGAGGAGGACTCCAAAGACTGGTGAGCTCTTTCATGGAGGTTTTTTTGGGAGGGTTGAATCCAATTCCTGATGACTTCATGAAAAGATCCATATTGTTTTCTCCACTACTAAATGGAATCATTTGGCACTGCTTTCTTATGGGATCTGTTTTGATAGTACCCTGGTTTAACACATTGCCTTGGTGTTCCATTTAAATACTTCCATTTTTGGAGGTCAACTAGAGGCTGTTTTTGACCTATAGATATGAAAGGGAAACCTGCATGCTACCTCTGCAGATTCAGATACAGGAAAACATCAGTAGGAAATTGCTGTGATTGTCCTAGCTTGCCAGCAGCTTCTCAGAAAGCTGAGCTACACATTACACTCACTATTTTTTTTGTTTTTGATATTTTATGGCCATTTATAAACTAGAAAATATAAATAACAGCTGGCGTTTTTCACCCTTTTCCTTCTATGCAATTATTAGGACTGCAGTCCTGATCTAACCGTATTCTCTTCTGAAGCTGATATTTGTGTTGAGGGACCACACTTGGAATATTGCATCCAGTTTTGGTCACCATGATACAGAAAAAATGTTGAGAGTCTAGAAAGAGTGTAGAGAAGAGCAACAAAGATAACTAGGGGGCTGGAGGCTAACACATATGAATTGGGTATGTCTAGTTTAATGAAAAGAAGGACTAGGAGTGACATAGCAGCCATGTTCCAATATCTCAGGGGCTGCCACAAAGAAGAGGGAGTCAAGCTATTCTCCAAAGTCCCTGAAAACAGAACAAGAATCAATGGATGGAAACTAATCAAGGAGAGAAGCAACCTAGAACTAAAGCGAAATTTCCTGACAGAACAATTAACCAGTGGAATGATTTGCCCCCAGAAGTTGTGAGTGCTTCATCACTGGAGGTTTTTAAGAAGATATTGGACAGCCACGTCTGAAACGGTATAGGGGTTGGATTAGAAGGCCTTCAAGGTCGTTTCCAACTGTTATTCTGCAAAGCTCTTCCATCAAGGCCCATGGAAATTGGAGCTCTTGAGTGGAGCAAGAGAGGCAGAACTCTCCAATTTGGGCTAAATTCAGAATTATAATGGAGTGGGTGTAAGGAGGCTGAAACTCTTGTCCAAGTGTCATTGTAGGAGAAGGAGTGGCAGAATCTGGGGGTGGAGTCAAAAGAGGAATCAACCTAGAGTCTCTACATAGTCACAAATGGACTAAGTCCAACACCTCTTGAATTCTGTTGACCCTTATCTAGCCAAACCAGGACTCACTGTTAGTTGAGTAAATTCCTGTGCATAGGCATGAGGAGTAGTAGTAAATTAACTGGACCTTCATGTGTGGTCCTGATCTTTTGCTCCTGATGGTCATGGGAAAAAAAAACAGACGAGAATTCTTGATTTCTTTTCTTCAGTATCCGGCAGTTAAAGGAAAGAGTGAACAATTTGCGAGGGAAACATGATCAGATTTACAATTTCACCCCACGTGAAATTGAACCCGAGGTCAACTGGTCTTCAACAATCGAAGAGAAGCAGGTAGGCCTTCTCCAAATCAGGAAATACTCTTCTTTGCTTTGAGACATGGGCTGGGAGGGGGGGGGCTTATGGGTCTTCAATCATAAATGTAGCCCCAAAGAGGAAATCAGCTGGGCTGGACTGTTTTTTCCTAAATTCTGCTTAAAAGGACTTTTTTTGAAATATTAAATGAGTTTTCTCCGAGTTGGTGACCGTTCAAGTGCATTGAAGCCCACCCCAACTGGGTGTGGTGGGAATTGAATTAATCTGGGGACATCCATTTTGGGAATGACAAGTTCCAATTGTTCAAATCAGCTCCCCGGCTTGGTTTTTCCAATACTACGCTACTTTCATATCAGAAGCACCTTCCAGGTTGAAAGGAGTAGCTGGTGACATCACTGCTTCCCCGAGGGAGGCCTTTCATGTCCTTGTTATTTTTCCCACCAAAGTGGTACCTATTTATCTACTTGCATTTGCGTGCTTTCGAACTGCTAGGTTGTTTTTTTTTAATAGCTATGCAAGAAGCAGGGAAAGCTAAGAAGTAGGATCAGGATAAGAAGTATATGGAATATACTTAGCCACCTCCTATCTTCCCTGCCGTGTTATCCACGAAAATTATCCTTCACCAAGCTGTTACTTTCATTGGGAGAGATACCTACCCACTGCTAGCAATCCCAATAAATGCCCATTGCATTACTTGTCCTTTTTTTACCCGTAAATCAGGAAGCATTACATATGTGCTCTGCAGCCTAGCATGACACTTCTAGATTTGGGGGCTGGCATTCTTCTACAAAGAACCACTTTCTCCTCCAGATTGTATCATCATCATCATCACAATTTGATGGGGAGGATGGAGTTCACTTTAGGTCAGCAATAAGCAACCTGCAGCCCTCAGCCAGGTGAGCCACCAAGTCTAACTTGGCTGCTCATTGAAATGGTCTTCTGAAAATTGGTGGCAGATAGTCTTGACTCCTTCCCAGTTTTCAGCACTCACCATAACAAAGGTGCAAGAGTTGTGAAGCGGAGGAAGACACACAGCTTCTAGCATTTCCAAAACTGCAACAGGTTTTGGGCGGACCACAAAGGGCCACCTCCTGTTACGTCCTTCTCCCGAGGATTCTCGTTTATTTATTTTTTAACTTTTAATAAAAGCTATCTAAAATCTGCAGAAATCATAATCAGTAGATGCCACCGTGCTTGTGTGGTGGAATGTGGTCTGGAGTCACAGGAGGGAGGGGCTCCTTCCCAGAGGGCGAAGAGACAGCAGAGCTTGGAAGGTCTGGTAGACAGGAAGAGAGCAAGGTTGGACCCTCCCTAGGAATTCAGAGAGTGTATCTATAGCTATGCAGATAATTGCAGATAATTGCCTTAGTCTGAAACTTTAGATTCTGTCTGTAGGCAAACGACAACAAAGAAGCTACTCAAAAGTTACTCCATTCTTGTTTCTTTGGGCAGGTCAAAATGTTATTCGGAGCATGAGATACCACTGGTCTGACTTGCTAAGAGGCCCATTCTTGGTGTCTAGATTTATTTGTGTGCCCGGGCTTCTGGGGCTATGGGGAATGATGCCCTTACCACCTTTCCTGTGCCCTCTTTCCCAAGGAAACCTTGAACAGCAGAGGCTTTGGCACAGACCTTCCGTCAGTCAACGGTCAAGTAGAAGAGCACAATATCTTCCACAATGAGGTGATGGCTATTGGACCGCATATCAACAAAGAAGGCGAAAAGGTATCCCCCCTGTCTCTTGGGTCTTTGATAGGATGGGGAGTGGCGGGGAAGCAACAGCAGATGTTTCTATGCTGCAAGAGAAATCCAGCACATGCAACTTTGGTAGAGCAGTGCTTCTCAACCTTGACCATGCTGGTTGGGGAACTCTGGGAGTTGAAGTCCACACATCTTAAAATGGCTGAGGTTGACTACATTGGGGTAGAGAGCAAGGAACAAGAAGATAGGAACCATCACCTATCAAGGTGATAGGGGCTGAAACATTTTTTAAGTCCAGAACAACAAGACAACACTCAAAAGCAACTCAGACAGACATCTTACGAATTCACGGCAGTATAAGCAGGGGCAGAACAATCAGACATTCGAGTTTCTGTTTGTTCTAGCCCAGAGGTAGGCAACCTCGGCTCTTTTATGACTCGTGGACTTCCAACTCCCAGAATTCCTGAGCCAGCATGGCTCAGCTTGGAAACCTCTCCCTTTCCCCTCAGCATGGCTGGCTCAGGAATTCTGGGAGTTGAAGTCCACGAGTCATAAAAGAGCCGAGGTTGCCTACCCCTGGTCTAGCCAATCTTAATTAAAGTAGTTCTACTCTTTCTGTGGAATTGTTTTCCTGGGGGGTGGGGGGCAACAGTCATGTATGTTCATTTACCTGATGGCTTTCCAGGTATGTTAGAGTTAAAATTCTTAGAATTTCCTGTATACTCAAGTCAAGAATTTGGGGAGTTATCACATGAACTGGACACCTAACTATGGAGGCTCTAATACAATGGCCAGACGCTTAACTGTGATGCATTTACAATAAACGTATGATCTTGCTGGTCACCTTTTTTTCTTTTTCTTTTTTTGAGATTGGTCTTTTCTTTTTGTTTCCAGGAGTATACAAGTGAGCTTCAGATGAAATACCAGAAACTGCTGGTAAGATGCTTTTTTTTTTGTCTAAACAGATGTGTGTAATTATGAAACATCTAAGCAAATCAGAGATGAAATGAGAAATCCTGCCTAGGGCAGAGGACACAGAGAAGAAGATGCATTGTTTGGTAATCATCAAGGAATAAAATTATTGGGCCCGGGAGAAGGAGCATGCTTTCTGCAAACTGGGTCATCGTCACATCTGGAATATAAAAAAAATAAAACTTACAGTATTGATGATGGGATTTTGCAGTTCAGGTTCCTGTATTCTTCTGGGGAATAGAGTAGATGGGAAGAAAGACAAGAATAGGCCATAAGACAAATTTCTGCAACTGTGTAATTTCCAGAATTCTCAGATTTGAAGTCCATCACATCAAATCGGGTGAGCTACTATCCATAAAAGAAAACATAGCAGTCCATGGAGAAGAGACTTTAAACACACAGTGAAAATAATTCAGGGTTTGTTGAATATAGGATATAGCCAATAAAGATCAGCCA